GTGTGTGTGTGTGTCTGTGTGTGTGTGTGTGTGTGTGTGTGTTTGACACACATACACGGAAGTAGGCAGTATTGTGAATGAAAGCTATAGCTGAGAGGTGCTTTCCTTTGATTGCACATGAAGGATTCATGCCAACTGTGTACGTGCTGCCCAGTGCCTCCTCACTGTCTGAATGAGTGCCAGCATGTTCCTACAGGGGGCAGTGGACGACTAAATACACATTCATAATCATCAAGTGACATTTCTGCTCAGTTTATAGCAATCCCATACTATTTTTGCTTGCTTGACAACTTGCAAAAACAGTGTGACTTGGCCATTTAGACCAGGAGTTTTCAATCTTTTGGATGCTACGGACCCCCAATCCTCCTTGCACATGAGACCCCCATTCTAAAATGCAAAAATAAGCTAAATATTTTCATGTACTAAGACCAAATTTATATTATAAATGTGCAAAAATTTACTTTCTGTTATATGTTACTTTTTCCCTATTTACATTTCTTAAACAACATTTTATTAATATTTAATTAACATTTAGTTTAAATTGTTTTTACATTTTTCTTTCTTTTTTCTACATTTTTATATTTTTTACATCAATTTGAAAATTTATTTATTTAGACTAGAACTGAGAATATATAGTAGCTATTTATCAGATGTTATAGTGAATTTATTAGTCCGTCTTCTTGCCCTGTGTATGCTGCTATACCGTTTACACGAATGACATTACAAAACAATGCATTACATTACATTTAGTCATTTAGCAGACGCTTTTATCCAAAGCGACTTACAAATGAGGACAATAGAAGCGATCAAAACCAACAGAAGAGCAATAATTTACAAGTGCTATATTAGTGTGTGTGCGTGTGCGTGTGTGTGTGTGTGTGTGCGAATGAAACGAGGCGGGGCCTATTTAGCAGTTCTGACCCCTTTGGCCACGCCCACGCGAATGACGTCAGAGGCTCGGTTTGTAGGCTACTGGCGACGTGCGGAACGCGAACCCACGCAACTCGAGCAAGAACGCGAGCTCGAGCCAGGATGGAGCCGTTTGTTTAACGGAGAAAGCGTGAATATTGTTGCACGATGAAATGGACGCCGTTGTTCGTGTTCAGTTGTCGAGGCTGATCAACGTGAAAGTTATCGCGTGGGGAAGGACTGGATTTAAAGGGCCAGCAGCACGCAAACGCGAACATGGACCGATGCGCTACGGTTCTGGATCCGGATCGGGATAAACAGTATTGCGAGCTGTGTGGAAAGATGGAAAACCTTTTAAAGTGCAGTCGGTGCCGGATTTCCTTCTACTGCAGCAAGGAGCATCAGAAGCAGCACTGGAAAAAACACAAACTCACCTGCAGAGAGGCGGACAAGACCAAGATAGTGCCTCAAACTCCTCATCAGCTGGAGAAAACAACTGATCCAGACAGAAAAGATCTGATCAAGAGAACCGAAAGCTTAGAAACGGACAGCAGCAGCAGCAGCACCAAACCCAAACCCCAAACCCAGAAACTGGCCACTGACTATATAGTCCCATGCATGAACAAACATGGCATTTGTGTAGTGGACAGCTTTCTGGGTGAAGACATCGGGCTGTCCATACTGGAGGACGTGAGAGCTCTCCAGCAGACTGGTAAATTCACTGACGGACAGCTGGTGAGTCAGAAAAGTGACTCTACTAAGGACATAAGGGGGGATCAAATCACTTGGATCGAGGGGAAGGAGCCTGGATGCGAGAAGATCCGCTTCTTGATGAGTCGCATGGATGACCTGGTCAGGAATTGCAATGGTAAACTGGGAAACTACTCAATAAATGGAAGGACTAAAGTAAGTATGCGTCAGTCATAGCGTGGATGATTTATTAACACCGGCTCATCAGGGTTGCATCATTGTTTTGAAGAACTGTATGAGTTACTGTCTACAGTGTCAGTGCAATCTGCTGATTTAAAGGGATAGTACACCAAAAAAAAAAAAAAAAAGAAGCAAATTCTGTCATCATTTGTGACCCTGGACCACAGGTCTTAAGTGTCAATTTTTCAAAATTGAGAGTTATACATAATCCGAAAGCTGAATAAATAAGCTTTCCATTGATGTATGGTTTGTTAGGATAGGACAATATTTGTCTATCTGGAATCTGAGGGTGCAAAAAAATCTAAATATTGAGAAAATCATCTTTAAATTTGTCTAAATGAAGTTCTTAGCAATGCATATTACTTATCAAAAATTAAGTTTTGATATATTTATGGTAGGAAATTTACTAAATATCTTTATGGAACATGATCTTTACTTAATATCCTAATGATTTTTGGCATAAAAGAAAAATGAATCATTTTGATCCATACAATGTATTGTTGGCTATTGCTACAAATATAACCGTGCTACTTAAGACTGGCTTTGTGCTCCAGGGTCACATTTACACACCCGTATGTCGTTCCAAAGCTGTATGCATTTCCTTCTCTGCTAAACACAAAATAAGATGTTTTAAATAATCAAAGAGTTCCCATTGACTTCCATTTTATTTTTTTTTGTCCATACAGTGAAAGTCAATGGGAACCGAAACTTAGTTACCAACATTCTTCAAAATATCTTCTTTCGTCTTCCAAAGAAGACAAACTGTGATGTTAACTGCACACTTTACTCCCATTTTGCTGAAACTAATGCAGTTCAATGGTTTTTTTAAAAATGAGTATTGGTCAAAAGATGCATCTCCTCATTCTTTATTATATGTTTATATATGTTATTATATATGTTATTATGAGTTTTACCATTTAGAGTAATAGTAAAATCACCAAACTATAAAACAACACAAATGGAAAAATTTAGAGATTATGTAGAGACAAAAAATTAAAAACTTTTTGATTCCCGCTCTGCACGCTGTTAACGTTCTCACAACCGACTTCATGAGGTGCATCCTGGGAACTGAAGGAGCTGACATGCATGCTTTTCCTTCCCTGTCTGCTGGCTTTCATTACAGTATTGCTTGCTTGCTTGCTTAAAAAGAAGTCAGAATTTCAGTGTTATTACATTAATATAATAACCAAAGTGATGGATGCATTTTTGAACACACACTACATATATTTTCAATTATTTAATACATTATTCTATTAGATTTTCTCACTTTAGTGTTGTTTCAAACCCATATGACTTACTTTCTTCCATATAACTCAGGAAACGTTGCATGTTTTCCATGCAATGAATGCATATAGGCTGTTAAGCTCCAAAAAGAACAACAACAACAAAAAAACTCTATAAAAATGTCACAACTCGTCTTGATTGGTTGATTAACAAAGCCTGAATTTCAGTGTTATCAGACTGATGCTGGTCATTGTGGCTTGGCTGATATAGGCTATTAGTTACTATTTATTATAGATATTTTGTGACTTGCATAGTTCATTTTGGATATAATTATTGTGAAAGCAACATGTGAGCTACTGGGAAACTATTTTGGTTAATTTCACTGTCATTTCCAGAGTGGCTGCATTCTTTCCAATTTTTTTTTTCTGGCAAATTGTGATTTATTCCTTTATTTTTGGGTTAGGTAGGAAAGTAATAGTTTCTGCAAAGAAAATTACAGTGAGTATTTATATTTAGATTCTGTTAGAAGCTTTAAGCAAAAACGGCCTGCAACTGCACGCATTAATCTCAAACAGCACACACACTGCAACGCCAAGGTCATGGGTTTGATTCCCAGGGAATGAACTGATAAAGTGTGTATCTTGAATGCAATGCAAGTCTGTGTTAATGTCAATTATATTTGGGTTGTTATTCCCTTGATTTGATGATATAAACACAGATATGCGAACAAAAACATTGAGTTTTCCTTGAAGTTTACTCTAACCATATATTTGCCATGACAGCCAGTGCAATTACCAAAATAATAAAAAGATTATTACTCAGGCAGCTTTGCACAGTGGAAGTCTTTTTCTGTGCTCTAACAATTTTAATCACTAGCACTCAAAAGTCTGCTAAAAACTTTCTAATGCAAACGATTATGCCTAAATGATGGAAATATATTTTGTAGGCATATATTTCTTTAGAAAATAATGTTTTTAATGCGGAAGTTGGAGCAGATGAAGAGTGTAGTTTAAGTTGAAGTGCTAAAATAACTAAAGCTAAAACGGTACAAAAATTGTTACTTGTGAAAAAATATTGCTGTCAAATGATTAATCGCGATTAATCGCATTCAAAATAAAAGTTTTTGTTTACATAATATATGTGTGTATACTGTGTATATTATGTATATATAAATACATACACATACAGTATATATTTTGAAAATATTTCCATGTATATATTTATATTCATATAATTGATATTATATATAAATATTTTAAAATGTATAAACTCAACATATTTTTCTTAAATATATACATGCATGTGTTTGTATTTTTATATACATCATAAATATACACATTACACACACACACACATATATTATGTAAACAAAAACTTTTATTTTGGATGTGATTAATCGCGATTAATCGTTTGACAGCACTAGAAAAAAATTTAATAAAATTTATTTAAAATAAAATGTCAAAAATGTTCAACTTATTTTATTTCAGTTATTTGCCAACGCAACATTTCTAATTTTTGTTTAGTTTAAACTGAAGTGCTAAAATAACTAAAATGAAATAAACTAAAATGAAAAAGTTGTAACTTAAAATAAAATGAAAGTTAACTGAATATAAAATGTAAAAAAGTTAAACCTATTTTATTTCAGTTACAGTATTTGCCAAAGCAAAGTTTCTCATTTTTGTTTTAAGTTGATAAAATAACAAATTAAATAAATCAAAAACTATATAAAAATTACTTGAAATAAAATAAATTTCACCTAAAAATAAAATTTAAAAAATGAAACTTGTTTTACTTAGTTGTCAAGGCAACATTTCTCATTTTTGTTTAGTTTTGTAGTTTTTGTAAGTTGAAGTGCTAAAACAACTAAAACTAAAGCTTATTAAAAGAAATAGGCCTATATTGACATTTAAGACATTTTTATTAATAAAAAGCTAATAAATATCTGAAAAACATTAAGTTTTTAGTTAAAACTTTAACTATTAAACTTCTGAATATGACCTTGTTAGTTATATCGTAACACATACACACACAGATTATATATATGTGTGTGTGTGTGTGTGTGTGTGTGTGTGCGTATATATATATATATATGATATTATATATAAATATTTTAAAATGTATAAACTCAACATATTTTTCTTAAATATATACATGCATGTGTTTGTATTTTTATATACATCATAAATATACACATTACACACACACACACATATATTATGTAAACAAAAACTTTTATTTTGGATGTGATTAATCGCGATTAATCGTTTGACAGCACTAGAAAAAAATTTAATAAAATTGATTTAAAATAAAATGTCAAAAATGTTCAACTTATTTTATTTCAGTTATTTGCCAACGCAACATTTCTAATTTTTGTTTAGTTTAAACTGAAGTGCTAAAATAACTAAAATGAAATAAACTAAAATGAAAAAGTTGTAACTTAAAATAAAATGAAAGTTAACTGAATATAAAATGTAAAAAAGTTAAACCTATTTTATTTCAGTTACAGTATTTGCCAAAGCAAAGTTTCTCATTTTTGTTTTAAGTTGATAAAATAACAAATTAAATAAATCAAAAACTATATAAAAATTACTTGAAATAAAATAAATTTCACCTAAAAATAAAATTTAAAAAATGAAACTTGTTTTACTTAGTTGTCAAGGCAACATTTCTCATTTTTGTTTAGTTTTGTAGTTTTTGTAAGTTGAAGTGCTAAAACAACTAAAACTAAAGCTTATTAAAAGAAATAGGCCTATATTGACATTTAAGACATTTTTATTAATAAAAAGCTAATAAATATCTGAAAAACATTAAGTTTTTAGTTAAAACTTTAACTATTAAACTTCTGAATATGACCTTGTTAGTTATATCGTAACACATACACACACAGATTATATATATGTGTGTGTGTGTGTGTGTGTGTGTGTGTGCGTATATATATATATATATATGGCGATAATATCGCATATCGCACTATTGAGCCACTCAGAATTACCGCAAGGGAAATTCCCTCACCGCGACAGCCCTAAACACGACTGTTCATGTTTAACAGTTTCAGGCTGTTTTTGAAGGCTTGGAGAGTTAAAAATACATTTGCAATGACAGTAAACCCATAGCTTGTGTGTGAAAATATGTTTTCATCGTATTATCAAACTTTTATTTCAAAAGATCAATGAAAATGATATTTTTCTCATGGTAAAACATGCTAATGTTGGTTTCACTTTTTGCCTTGATTTCCAAGGGCGACACAATGACTAACTATTTTTGTCTCTCTCTTTCTACTCTTTGACCATGAACGTTTCATCACATTACACGAGTCAGATATTGTACAGCACGTCTGAGCCAACTTCATGCATTTCATTACACTGACAAAGGTCAAACAGAAATACTTTCTGACTTCTTTCTTAGCATTAAGCTGCATTTTTTGGGAAAAGGAAAATCCTTTCTGGTTTAAAATGACACAACATGAAGGTTAGAAAGACTGAAATAGCATTTTCTTGTAAAATGTACTTCAGTAATCTGTTTTATTACTTACGATAGCTTTGTGTGAGAAACAGGTCATTCTTAGCTCTGAAATCTAATTCAGACTTGCTTAACGTTGCGCTGGATACGAGATACATGACAACCAGTGGTGTTATTGACATTATCATTGTTAAAAGAGCAGCGTGAACATTTATTAACACTTCTCCTATTGAGTTCCACAGAAGAAAGAAAGTCATAGAGGTATGAAGTGATGCTGACAGCTTCTTAGATTC